ACCCGCCCACCTCCACCCCTTTCCCCAAGCCCATAGGTCCGAGGGGAGCAGCGGCTAGGGCTAGGGCCAGATTGCTGCTGTGACTTGAAGATGAGGGGGTAAACCAAACTTCTTGCTGAGCAAGCGAAGCGAAGTGAGAAAAGATGCACTTTTTCCGTCACGCTCGGAGCTAAAAATTAAGCTTAAGCCTGGACTATCATTTAGCTACAGCAACATCTATACATATTATCTAGCACGAGGATCGAATCTTCTGGCTAGTATATTATACGGGATGGATTAAATTGTTGTTGTTTTTTAGCGCTGACGCTGACACGATTTCTGAAAGTTGATCCTCCGAGCGAATATCCCCGCGCACCACCGCCCCGCTATGGGATCGCGGGACAAGACCAGTCAACCGAGTGACGGTCCGGTTCGGTCGAGGGGCAGCAGGCAGGGGCCGCCGGCCGCACCCGCCCGGAGCCTTGGCGCCCGCCCGCAAGTCACTCACACACACTCACAGTGTCGTCGAATCGACTCCACACCGAGGTGGTAGGAGCTTAGGGGGCACTGGCTAGAAAGAAGCAAGGCACTCACTTAAAAGTCGCTCAGGATAATAGCACTCTGTACTACCTTTTTTTGGGGGGGGGGTATATGCGAGCAGGATATGGTTGCCAGGGTCCGCATGGCACGAGCCAGGCACGGCCCCCTGTCGTCTTCTCCAGTGAGCCGCCGGAAAGGTAGGCAATTCATACAACAAAATCGCTGTGTGTAGGCAACCCAACGGCACATCGCCTCCCCTGGCCTGGCAGCCGGACCTTACAACCGCGCCTGGCACGCTCAGAGCTGCGCTGCGGTGCAACCGCCCTAGGGCGCCCGCCAGCACCAGATTGCCAAAAAGAGATGTAATGTGGAGTACTTACTTGGCTAATGGACTCACATGTCTTTTTCCGGCTCTCTCATTTTTCGGGTGATGTCAGGCATTCCGCTGAAGGAAAACAGGAACCTATCGATAAGAAAAGCATGACTATTCGATCCGTTTCCTTCTGCGCGCCCTGCGCGCTCATTGGCTTCCTGACACACCGACTACATCGACTACTATCAGCGTTCAGGAGGAAGCAGGTCGGGCAGTCATGCTTCTCTTCTTTGGGTTCCGATTGTCTTGCAGCAGAATGCCCTATTCGCAATGATTACCCCGACGATGCGAACGGACGAGATAGGGAGATGCGATCGGTGCGATGTACTTACACATTCTCATGCCTCGAGGCCGGCAGAGCGAGCGCCGCCGTTCGCCGCCGTCATCCACCGCTCCACCAACGGAGCGCGCGATTGGCGCGATTGTCGCGCTCCGCTCTCGTTCCGGTGCCATCCGCCCTTGCGAGGTCTAATCCGCTGGACCGGGTCACTCGTTCGGCCTCGGCCGGCCGGACCCGGCGGTGGACGCCGGAAGTGTGGGTGATGCGACGCGCGACGCGGCACCTGCAGGGCGGGGCAGCGCCCCGAGGCCAGCAGCCGGGCATCGCGACAAAGCTCGCCCTGCCCCGCCCGGCCCTAGGCCGATCGGGCTTATCGGATACGCACTTGGCTTTCCGCATGTTTAACGCGACCTCGCCTCTGGTGCCTCTGGTCGCCCCCGCCCCGCCCCTCCGCCCCACACCTCTCTTTTGGCCTGTTTTGCCCCGAACAATGGGCATGACTATGACTTGCAGTGCAAAAATTCGCGCCAATCACATCGCAAGCGCGGCTACCCGGTCACTCACTGCCGGCCGCCTCCTGCCCGGCTGCCCGATCACTGCACACTGCGCATTGCGACACAGAGCTTTGGCACGCTGTCGCGCGACCACGCACTCAAGTCACCCGCTGCTTTCGCGAACGACCAAAGCGGCCAAAATATTGGCAAATAACGAGCGCGAACAAGTAGACCGACTGCACCGCATGCGTAACACAGCACGGAAATATGAAATATCCCAAAACAGTCACAATCGTCTCGTATTTGTTTTCGTTTTTTTTCGTGTCACAACCCTCGCACCGTATCGCTTGTCACACTCGCGAACGCCAAAGACGGGGTATGAAGGATGGCGCGGTTGGCGTCGCGCCAGTGCAGCATGTAACGCCCCCCCCCCTTCCTCACGCACACACTCCTCGAGCCCTCCACTCCACGGCTTCCACATTCGCTTTCATATTGTCCAGGCGTCCGTCAGCGAGAGACCCCCCCTGGTGCCGAATCGGTGCCGCAATGTGAGGAGCTTGGGCTGCCGGTTGTCGTGTCGCCAACGACAACAAGGACAGTTCGTTGGCACAGCATGAAAGCACAAAAAGAGAGAAGCACAAAAAATAAGAAGACAAAAAATCAACACTGCTTGCCCTGCTGCTTCGAAATCACGCCAACGACTTTCGTTCGCGCCTAACTGTTTTGTTGCCCCCCCCCCCCTCCCCCAGCGGGGGGAGCCAGTCCAGTCGATGGACCCAGCTTGTGACATCATGAGACACGTCGCATTTGCTGATGACCGTGGCGTCCTCCAGTATTTCGCGAGGTTTATGTTATGACCCCCCCCCCCCATTTCCTTAGCCTTAGGTCCTCACGGCGAGGTGCGTCACTTCTGTTTCAGCCGTCACCATGCGCCTGGGCCTGTGCCTCATGCTGGCCGCCCTCGCCTCAGGGTCGCCGACGACCGCCCCATCCGAGGCCAAGGAGTGCCCCGCCAACCTGTGGGCGGTCGAACGGGTCCCCGAAATCTTCGACAAGGAGTACCGCCTCCCGAGGAACGTGATGCCCGAGCACTACGACATCCGCGTCGACATGAACATCGGTGACGGTGGCAAGTTCGACTTCGAGGGCCACGTCGACATCCTGGTAAAGATTGCCGAGCACAGTAGACACCCGGCTACAGCGCGTTCTCCGGATGCTCTTAGCAGGCGTCTAACGTGTCTCATCTTCCGCCAAACAGCTACAGGCGACCGAGCCGACCAACCAGATCCGCCTGCACTCGGCGGAGCTGCAGGTGGAGCCGGTGCAGGTGGTCGAGGCCGAGGGCGGCAAGGCCCTGACCGTGCAGTCACAGACCCTCGTCACGGAGCAGGAGCAGCTGCGCGTCGAGCTGGGCGACAAGCTGGTGCCGAACAAGAAGTACATCCTCAAGGTGCCTTTCTCAGGCAAGCTCGGCGACGACCTGCACGGTCTGTACAGGTCCTCCTACTTAGACGAGGCCACCAACGCCACCAGGTAAGGCTCATGGGGGTCCGTGAGAGGCTGTGGCAGTATGGCATGGGTGGACGGGTTGGTGCTCATCTCCTTTGGGCGTTCCCCCCTCTCCAGGTGGCTTGCGGTGACGCAGTTCGAGGCGATCTACGCCCGCAAGATGTTCCCCTGCTTCGACGAGCCCGACTTTAAGGCCACCTTTACGATCCAGGCGGGTCACAACGGCTCGCTGACGGCGCTCAGCAACATGCCGGCCGAGAAGACGGTGCCATTGTGAGTATACCGACGCTGGCCCTGGGCGGAGGCCGCGTCGGCAGCGGCTCCGCAGCATCAGCCGCTCTTGTCTCCCACGCCAGCTAACGCCGTATGCATGCACCTCTCTGTCACACCCGCTAGCCCCGAGCGCCCAGGCTTCGTGCTCACCTCGTTCCCAAAGACGGTGCCCATGTCCACGTACCTCGTGGCCCTGGTCGTGTCCGACTTCTACGACACCAAGGCCGAGCACACGGAGGGCAAGGCGCAGGTGGCCATCTGGGGGCGGCGCGACGCGGCGGGCCAGATGAAGTACGCGCGCGAGATCGCCCCCAAGGCCATGGCCTTCTTCGAGGACTACTTCGACATCAAGTACCCGCTGCCCAAGCAGGACATGGTGGCCATCCCGGACTTCAACGCCGGCGCGATGGAGAACTGGGGTCTCATCACGTACAGGTGGGAAGACTACCTCCCAGGTCACCACACGGCCACTATGGGAAAGAGAGAATGAGGCAAACAACTTATGGCTTCCGTTGTCCAACAGGGAGGCCCAGCTGCTGTTCGACCCGGAGGCGTCCTCGCAGACCGCCAAGTCGGCGGTGGCCAACACCGTGGTGCACGAGCTGGCCCACCAGTGGTTCGGCAACCTGGTGACCATGAAGTGGTGGTCCGACCTGTGGCTGAACGAGGGCTTCGCCACCTACATGGCGACCCTGGGCACGGCCTACCTGCACCCCGAGTGGCAGCACATGGAGGACGTGGCCGTGTCGCAGGCCCTGTCCATGCTGCCCCTCGACGCGCTCGAGTCCACGCACCCGGTGGTGCAGCCCATCGAGCACGCCCGCCAGATCTCGCAGAGCTTCGACACCATCACCTACCGCAAGGGCGCGGCGCTGCTGCGCATGATCCACTCGTTCCTGGGCGAGAAGGCGTTCCGCGAGGGCGTCTCGCGCTACCTCAAGACGCACGAGTACGGCAACGCGGAGCAGGACGACCTGTGGTCCCACCTCACCGAGGAGGCGCACAAGGGCGGCGTGCTGCCCGCCTGCCTCAGCGTCAAGCGCATCATGGACACCTGGACCGTGCAGAGCGGCTTCCCCGTCGTCACCGTGACCCGTGACTACGACAAGGGCACGGCCAATGTCTCGCAGGTGCGTAATGCAGTCATGACAGCCTCCCTCCCCGTAGCATGGACTTTTTCGAACTCTTAGACTAATCACGACATTCCTCCACGCAGACGCGCTTCTTCTCGTCCGGCAACAAGAACTCGAGCCACGAGTGCTGGTACGTGCCGCTGAGCTTCGCGTCGGCCGGGGACAGCAAGCAGGCCGTCGGCTCCGAGACGCGGCCGCCGCAGGACTGGCTGCGCTGCAAGGACCCCGTCCAGACCGTCGCCGGCATGCCCGCCAAGGACAAGTGGGTCATCTTCAACATCAACATGGGCGGCGTCTACCGCGTGCAGTACGACGACCACAACTGGGCGCTGCTCACCGCCGCGCTCGCCGACCCCAAGCAGCGCTCCAGCATCGGGGTGGTGGGCCGGGCGCAGGTCATCGACGACGCGTTCGAGCTGGCCCAGGCCCTGCGCCTGCCCTACGGCGTGCCGCTCGCCCTCATCAACACCCTCCAGATGGAGGAGGAGTTCCAGCCGTGGCGCGTCGCGCTCAACGCGCTCAGCCGCATCGACAGCCTGCTCAAGGGCGACGTGCGCTACCACGTCTTCAGGGTGAGCGAGCGCCTGCCAGTCGCGGGGTGGGCCGCCCGCCGCGCTCCGGTGCGCGCGCGCGGCCTACCCTGCCCCTGCCAAGTCCTCGGCTGGCTGCCGAGCCGACCGGGGCTGTC